TGCTACACCACACAACGTACTGCATGCCTGCTACACCAGTGGTTCCTCCCAGCCTGGATGTGTGTGGAAGAGACGGAAACCACAGCAAAACGTTGCTGATTGTTAGCACGGCCAACTGTCTGATGTTTGCACTTAAGTAGTGTTTTAGTTGTTTTGAACACTATTATAACACGCTACTGCTAAATATTGGCTGTATATTGATTGTAATGTAAACTGTAACTGGGTTAAACTGGCGCACGCCCCTTGAAATGTATTTATTCTACATATTGTAAAGTGTTAGATTTATGACACATGGTTTATCTTGTTATTCATAGAGTTCTAAGCTTTGTGTGAATAAATGCGCATCTCATTTTTAAATATGTTTATGGTCTCATTATAAATATTTAATTAGTCAAACCTGATCAATCATCTGCAGTAGAGAAGCTCGATTGAAACCACTTGAATAAAAGCCGTGCCGAGCTGGTTCGAATTTGAAAACCGAAGCACTAAGAGCACGAGAGGATTGTGTGTTTGATTGTGTGGAAAGTGAAGGCTTCAGCTCAGGATTCCAACAGGTCAATACTGCACGAGTGGGAAAGCACACTGGTGGCAGCAGCAGCAACATGCTGATGATGTTTACCTGCTGCAAGAGTGACGAGTGTGAGAAGGAGACATGCAGCTGGTTCATGTACGGCTGCATGAGAAAAACTATCAGGCAGAAAAGATTTGTTCTATTTCAAAATGCAAAACTTTCCTTCCAGGCTGGTCTGACAGGTTGGTAGGCACCAAAGCAGGAACCAGTAAGAGGGATTAGTGGAACAGTGTGTTTGACTGACCTGGCATAATGGCTGATAAACACCTAAGTAGGATTTGGGACATATTAGGCCTGAGCATGATCGCCTTCCCTCGCTGACCTGTGCTTGAACTCCATTTAAAAGTCCTCAGCTCCTTTTTAAAAAGGACTCTTGCAGGCAGAGTTTGAGGCCAACCTGCTATGTTATGGTGAGCTGCTCCAAATCATGGGTGGGACAAAAACTGGAGGCTAGTGCAGCTGACAGAAGCTGAGAGCAGTAACCCATCCCTGTTCATGCACAGCACTGGAGTTTCTTCTCTCTTTGACATGACTGCACATGCCCCAAGACCCTACAATATGTGAAAGAAACCAAAAGAATCACACAGCCTGCAGTGAACAAGCACCCGGTGACCCCGGGGTGTGTAAAACTCCCTTTGACAGGAAGAAACCTTCAACAGAATCAAGCTCAGGGAGGTGTGAGGATAAAGAGCAGAGAGCATATAATAGTGCACTACCTGGTGACTAGCTATGGTTATGGTTATAATACTATGAGCACATTAGCAGAGCAAAGATGGAGGATGAGCATTAATGTTTTATCGCCTCAATAAAACTGTGAGGCAGAGACAAATGCAGTCATACTGCAGGGAAAAGATGCTGACGATGGGCCAAACTTCACTCGAGAGCACGTCCGTGATCGTCCATCCACAGCAGGTTAATCATACCATACAAATCCTAAACTGAGGCTTCATCCACACATTCAAATCTTAGTTGCATCAGTCTTTCTTTTCTGGACCATTTAAATATTTGGTGTGTGTTCAAACTGTGGGCTCATGAGCTTAGAGGTACAATGCACATTAACAAAGAGGCCTGCAATAATCAAAGATTATTTGTAGGAGCTTGTTTCTATTAAATAAAAAGACACAAAACATTTCAGTACCTCCAATGAATGGAGTAGGAGTTTGGAGCCACACGGTGGCAGCAGTGTAAAGGACAGAGTTTACTTTGGTATCCTGACGGAAAGCTGCTGATGGATTTATCACACGGTCAAACTGATTTGATTTAATCTTCAAACTGATGGACAGTGTCAGAGCTAAATGCACTGAGTGATCTGGAACAAACATACAGTACAAAGCTCTGACATGCAGCAGTCACATTACAAACTAGCTCAGGGTGCCAAAGGAAACTCATTAATTGGCAGGTTGAACCGTTTTTGTAACATTTGTTTCTTGCAGCACAAAGTTTCTGTGGCAGTGAGCAACGAGCCACTTGAGGGAATTTTGTTTTATTTCCGACTCGCTGACCAGACTTTATTTATCATTTAAACCCTAAGTACACCTTTAAAACTGTGAATAATTGAATGATGAACTCAAAAAGATAAGAACATGAGAATCAGAACGTGTTAAACTGTGGCCTCCTGAATCCTCCAGGATTCATTCAAACTTTATTTTACTCCAAAATGAAGTCGTGTGTTTTTAATGCTTTTCTAAAAGTCCTTTAATTTTTTATTTTTCTTGAATCGATGGTTGACAGTTCAGCATGGTAACATCATCCTCTCAAACATTCAGAGCTTAAATAAATGAACTGGCTCTTACACGGCAGGTTTTTACACTCAAAGCTCTCTACACAACATCTCTTATTCACCCATTCATACAAACACTTCTTTCTACACAAATCTAACATTCACACTCGTTCATCAGAGAGCAGCTGATCTGCAAACTGTAGACCAGAGCAGCAGGGACCAAACCTCCAACCTTCGATCTCCTGAACTACAGCCACCCCCAAGTGTGGCCGAACACTCAGCGCTCCCTGGTATGGGATGTTCTCGTGAAACACTGGCCTCCTACACTGTGTGCACACTTTGGGTGGTTCAAAATGAGTGTTCTTCATCATCTATAAACGATGAAGAAACTTCTATTGGTTTATTGTCTGTGTCAGGACTTTGGTTTATCTTCCTTTTACCTTCAGCTCATTAGTGGCTCAGTGCAAAATGTGGCTACCAGGATATAGAAGCGCATATGTGTTTGAAACTTTGCTGCCATTTTTAGACATGATGTTTGACAACCTTGTGCTCCAACTCACATGTTGTAGAAGAAACTTCATGACTCTTCTCTGATTTTTCCTCTTAATAAGTTCATTACACTTATTTTCCTTCTCTTTTAAGTTTCTGTGGAGGAGAGCCAGAGATTAATAACAAGTGTGATTGAGTGCAGAGAGGTCTATTAGCACAGTGAGTGAAGAAGAAACACCCAGTGCATCATGGGAATCCCCCGGCAGCCTATGTCTATTGCAGCATAACTAAGGGAGGATCCAGGGTCACCTGGTCCAGCCCTAACTATATGCTTTAGCAAAAAGGAAAGTTTGAATCTTGAAAGTAGAGATAGTGTCTGTCTCCTGAATCCAAACTGGAAGCTGGTTCCACAGAAGAGGGGCCTGAAAACTGAAGGCTCTGCCTCCCATTCTACTTTTAAATACTCTAGGAACAACAAGTAGGCCTGCAGAGCGAGAGCGAAGTGCTCTAATAGGGTGATATGGTACTACAAGGTCATTGAGATAAGATGGGGCCTGATTATTTAAGACCTTGTATGTGAGGAGCAGGGTTTTGAATTCTGGATTTAACAGGAAGCCAAAACAGGAGAAATCTGCTCTCTTTCTAGTCCCTGTCAGGACTCTTGCTGCAGCGTTTTGGATTAGCTGAAGGCTTTTCAGGGAGTTTTTAGGACATCCTGATAATAATGAATTACAGTCGTCCAGCCTGGAAGTAATAAATGCATGAACTAGTTTGTTAGTCATATCATTAGTGACGGACTAAATGTGTGTGTTTAATACTGGAACAACGTTCAAAAAGTGAGGGCCGGCTTGACTGCAGTGAAACAGACTCTGTTTCTATAACCCGACAGTATCTGTTTGAGGCCACAGGAGGGTTTGTCTTGGCACAGATTGTTATTAAATCTGATATCATGACGATCGCTTTGAGCATTCATTATGTCTTCCTGCACAAAATAGCCACACTAACTGAATATTATAAATCCTGTCTTGGAGAAAAAACCCCAAAGTGGTGCAGCATTCTGCCAGCACTACACCTCTGCTTGTGTTATAGGCACACAAAGTTTTTCTTTGTAACATTACTATTTGAATACTGTGTAAATGTTTTGAACCACCTTGATTTCTTTAAATGGTATGATCTTTCTTCAGCAAGTCGATGAACTAGCTTTGATGGCAAGCTTTCCTTTAGCTTCAGAGGATGAGAGAAGAAGAGGCAGCTGTGCAGCAAAGACAGAATAACTGCAGCTTTGTGTCTTTTTCATTGTAGCTGAAGTCCAGGACAAACTGTTCCTTTTCACCTCAATAAGAAACGTGTAATATTTTCTCTGAATACCAGACGATTCCATTTTTCCTGAATCCTTTATCATCTGTAACTGAAAATAGTTGTGGGTGATTACTCTACCTTTCTAATGTGAGGTTGTTGTCCCTGCCTCTCTCCCTCCCGCTCTGTTCCTGTGCTACTGAGTGTAACTACCCCCCTCCCCCCTCTTTAAAACCTCAGAGGACTTTGAGCTCCATTTCTCTGAGTGTGTCTATGTGCACACCCAGGAACTTGAAGCTGCACACTCTTCCCACGCACTTCCTGTTGCTGCAGCTCAGACTTCCTCCTTCCTCCTCCTGAAGTCGAGTGTGGCTTTGTTCTCAAGTTATCATTGAAAAAGCACCGATGGCCAAAAAAAGAAAATTAAACTTTGAAAGGCCGCTGAAATCCTGGAGACATGTTGCTCAAGACCACTTATAAAGTTACTACGAAGGGTTGGCTGTAGCACAGCAGGCAGCGCAGCTCTCCTACTAACCAGAAGGTTGGTGGTTCGACCCCTGCTCCAGTCTACATGCCAAATACACGTGAGCTGTGTGTGGAGAGAGAAAGCACCTATGCAGAAAACTCCTGGGAAAAGGTGTTTGGAGTGCTCAGGTAGAAACTGCACCACCACAATGAAAGTCTCGCCTTCATTATTAGATGTAAACTCTACCGTGGTGGAGCACAGAGGTAAACTGTCCATGTGTGGGGACAACACTCGCAGCGATGCAAACGTCTGCATGAGAGCTCTCATTTTAAACCGTAGTCCCTATGACAAGAACAACGAAATGAAATACAGCGTTTTCTTTTTTCCAGGATTTATTTAACATGTGCAGTATTCACAAATATCCAACTGTAATTCGTAGGATGACGGTTCCATAACACACGGGCTGGAGACGAATAGCTGGGCCAAACCTGCAGTCTGAATTGATAAGACTAAGCTAAGAAGTGCATTGAATGTATCATATAAATAAGTGGCCACAGTGCTTTCAGAGGAATACATTTATGTGGTTCAGGGAACTTAAAAGGAAGAAACCATCTTTCTGTGCTGCAGACTGCCCATGCTTCCCTGCACAAAGGATTCAGGCTGAAGCTTCTCCTGAGCCACTTCCAGCTACACTCGGGAACTTTGATACTTCTTGGAAAAAAAGACTTTTAGCAGATTTTTTCCCTTAACGGTTACTGTGGCAACCTACGGCGCCTGTGTGGTACCCAAACCCACAGCATTTGCGTAAGCAGACAGCAGATTCACTACCTGCCTAGTTTCCAGTGTGAGTCTGGCTTCAATAAGCCAGTCCTCCACCACTCTCCTGGCCTCTCCTCTCAGCTGGTTCACCAGTTTAGCTGCTAACTCCAGGTCCCCGTGCTCTAAGCAGTAGCTAGCATATGACAGAAGCTTGAATGGATCTAAATCCTCAGAGCTCAGCTGGCTAGGCGGAGCTTCCTGACTCTTCTCAAACAGCAGTGCAGCTTGAAGGTAGGACAAGAAATACTGATACAAGGAGTTACGAGATTCATCGATGAGAGCGACGCGGCGGGCCAGCGATCGCAAGGAGTTGAAACGGGCACGGAGAGAGGCCTCGCTGTACACGCCTCGCTGCAGGGATTTCTCTGGAAGAGCCGACGCCAGCGCCAAGGCAAAGTCGTTGTCTCGGCAGCTGTCGCGAACAGCCTGAGCGGCGTTCTCCAGAGGCACAGTGGGCACGTCGGCTTCAGCAGTCTTTAGGGAGTAACTGAGAGCCTCCACAGAGAGCCACAGCTGGTGGGCCTTACGAGCCTCGTCCTCTGCTACCACGTGGCCTGTGTTCAAAAGACAAAGAGATTTACATGACCGAGTGGAAAAGAACGTGTCTGTGTGCACGTGGACATCCAGTCCCTTTGCACACCAGAACCTGACTTTTAATATCACAGGAAAAAATGATCCAACTATTCCAACATTCATCTCCACACATCATCATTCCTACATGTGGTACTGCTCTGCAGCACTCCAGATAACAACCTACCCGACTAATCACTCAGTGCTATTTCTTTGCTTTTTTGGATGCGTGTATCTCTTACTGTCTATAGCTTCTTCCACCCCCTTCAGCCTCGCGTAGGCTGTGTTCATGTCCAAAGTGAAGTTGTCGAGCTGTTCCTGGGTCAGCTGACGGTAGCGAGTCTCCTGTTCCAGCATCTTACTGCTCAGTACCTGAACACAACCAAAGCATAGCTCTGAAGGGCTGAAGGATGAAATGCACACAGCGTGCAACTCGCAGGAACAGAGTACGCTGCTGCAGCCTGACTCGTCTCAGGTGTCTTGGCCACGCCCCCTTTACAGGATATTAGTGGAAAAAAAGCTTAAGATATGGCAGAACATAAGCTGTCAGCTTCCCGTATACAGCAGCATGTTTATTTTATCCTACGCTATATCACAGACCTCCAACAAAGCAAAGGCCATCAGAGTAAACACAAAACAGTTTAACACGTTTACTGAACAGAAGGTTGGAAAATAAAGAAATGATCCAGAGCAGCATCTTTGCTGCAGATGTCACTAAGCTGTGGTCATGGTAGCGTTGCAGCATGAAGGAAGTGACCCTTCTTGTGAGTGCCAAGTCCTTTCAAATGCACTTAATGTTTCTAACAGCTCAACAATTATCAGCTGAGCTCAAGGTACAAGAGAAAAGATCAGTTTACTCAGAAATGAAGAAGGATGCGAGAAACAGGACGTGAGGAGAAACAAAGAGGGTTTTCAACCAAATACATTCATTACAATTCAAATGTGAGGAGAAGCAGAGTTTGGATTCTTTGTATTAATAATAGTTTATGGCAACAATGACACAAAGAGCTGTTTTACTTTGAGACAGTTCAAACATCTTCTGGACTGTTTTTACTTTTAGCATTTTGTGCCACTGTTAACATCTATTAGCAAACTTTCTGTAGGATGTTTGTCAGACAGCCAGTGCAAGCTGCTTTTATGGCTTAAGTAACTTAACCAAGCAGACCACGTTTTATTCAGTATATATTTTGTGTTTACTCTGGTTGCTTAGACGCTCCAAACCTGGCAACTCAGAGCCACTAGTGTCCTGTAAGTACTCATTCTGATGTGTAAGCAGACTCTGGGGTAGATCACCTGCTCAGCCTCAGCTTTCAGCTCGTGCTCCTGGACTTTGAGCACATCTTGGACGTGGTCTGTGTGAGCTGCTGCCTGCCGCCGCAGCTGAGTCCTCATCTCTGCCTCCATCACTTCTCTTAACTCAGCCAGCTGCGTACACACAGAGGAAATCGTAACACGTTTTAGATACGTTAACTGAAAAACCAGAACAATCTAAAGATATTTTTTCCTGCACCTTCCTCTCCTGGTCCAGCCGGGCATCTTCTTTGACATGTTGCAGGGCAGTGTTGACAGCGTTGTCCAGAGCTTTCTGGTCCTCGAGTTTCTGTTGCTCCAACGCTGCATCAATGTGGATCTTCTCTCTGACCTTCTGCTCAGCCAGCTCTCGGTTCAACTGGTCAATGCGACGATGTGCATGGGCGATCAGAGCGTTGAGGTCGTCTGTGGACAGTTTACCAGCTAACACACAAAAACAAGTTATCATGGAAAACGTACTTCCTGATCAGCACATAGTTTTGAATGTATGAAAGTAACTAAGAGTTACGGTGACATGCTAGAACGTGAGGTTTTGACTGTAAATGCACATTTCAAAAACCCCGTGGATGTTCAGACGGTGGACTTAGAGCCACCAAACGTTAGCTAACAACAGACGCACAGAGCTTACACAACATATTAGATTAGGATTCGATTCTATTTGACGTGCCTGTCACGAATGATACAGGTTATACTGATGTTATTAGTACTGAAACACTAATCATGTGTTGCTGTAGCCACAGACACTGAACGTCGCTGTAAAACCTCAACATCAGTATGGAAACCTAAATATTGCTCCTCAGAGGGGAAACGTTGTCACATTCTTTCACTGTACAGCAACACAATGAGTGTCCTAATGCATGCTTAATAATCTGGGAAAGTAAATCCCAGACAGCTGATTCTGTTCTTCAGGACATGCCTCGCTCTGTTTATTATCCTACCAGCTGGGAGAAGGTGAAGGCGGCGGCATGAAAGACAGCTTCAGCCACACAAACAACCACATAATAACATGAACTGAGGCTACAGATCACGACTAATAACACTGCGCTGATGTTAGAGACCTGGCTTTATTCATCCATCCCAGACACCAGCTATGGCTAGCAGGCTACACGTAACATCTCTGTGGTTAGAGGCCTGAGGCTGCACGTGCACGTCGACCATCTGGGAGTCGAGCAGGTGCTTAAAGGTACATCTGTCACCGTCTTACAATGCTGTGATTGCAGCCCTTCCACCAACTCTGTCAATCGTACTCATGGCCATTCATCACTACACATGACAGTTTCCATATTAACACTCATGAAACTGACCTCAGGCTCATCGTTAGTCCGATTAGCGACCGATGAAAACACAATGTCCAGCTGAACAAATCGAATCAAACTTTGTGTGAAGACACGTGTTTGAGTGTGTATGCGTGCTCTTACTGAGCCCTTTCCAGTTGGCCTGGATCTCTGGAGTGAGACTGCTGACTTCCCTTTGAAACTGTCGTTTGGCTTCGTTAACCAGTTCACTGTACTGGGAGACGATCTTAGCCTCCGACTCTGCAGACTGAACCTTTAGTTGGTAACATTTGTTAGCAGAAGAACAGAGAGGTTAATAATCATGACAGTGGTGAAGATAACACAGCCAACACTTTAACTGCACATAGTGCCGGTCACTAGAGTCTAATAGGTCATACCACACACATGCTCACAGGGTGTGGGCAAAATGATAATCGGATTTCTGATGACAGAGAAAAGGAAACATTTTATCGACACTCACAGCTTGCAAGCAGCAACATTTGTAAGGAAATGAGGAAAATCAAAGGCATTTTGTATCCTTGTTTTAAAATGAGTGTGTATCTACTGAAACAAGGCGCTGCCAGCAGTGCAAAGTAGTGATACAGTATTATATCCAGTCATATGTCAGCATAGAAGGAGCCTACGTAGCGCTCCCATCACATGGACTGGAGCTGCAAATATAGCTGCTGATGCTGGGTTGAGTCACCTCCTCACAAGTTTTCTTGCCTATTTTACAAAGTACTGTGCTTTGATGCTAAGGCAGCTCTTATGTTTGGTACTGGCCAACAGAGGCCAACGTGCTGCTGTCACTTTCATTCAGTTTACAGCTGAGAGGTGCAAATGTGAACTTGAGCCTCAGAAAGGAAGCAAACAGGTCACTTTAATCTCCTGTAGTCGTCCACAATGCACCCAAAAAGAAAACAAACTTTACCTTCATGACCATTTTGTCCAAGTCCACAACCATGTTATGGAGATTCTCCTCTGCTGCTAAAACCAGCGGGCGAACAGAGGATATCTTCAGCCCTTTGGACTCGTCAATCACTGACCTGAGACTGTCCAAGGACTCGCTGCAAGGAAAGAGATGTGCTGATAAGGAAGACTGCCAAAATAATTGAGTTAGGCAGAGATGTAGACGGCACGCTGAGTGATTATTACATCTTTCAGATTAACCTTGTGCCACACTGGTCATCAGAATTAAAGAAACACTTTCACTCCAAGCAGAAGAAATCACAATTTAAAGAAAGCTTGAAAATCATAAATGTTCTAAGTGGAAAAGAAAGAATTCTTCTTCACACACATTCAAGTTTGTAATAAGTATGTTTGTGTTACTTTGCTTTCGACAGAGCGGCTCTGGCATCGTTCAAAGCCGTGGTTCTATCAGCAAGAGCAGCTTCCAGGTCCTTCCACTGGTTTGACTTCTCCTCAGGAAGAACCTAAGTTTAAGAAGAACTTCGATAAATCTACTGCAAAACAGTGACGCTTCCCATTCAGTGAGCCGTGGCTTAAACATTACTAATACAGCGCTGTGGTGGGTGGACCACACAGGCCACAGCAAGCAATGTATCTGATTAAAAACAAGAGTACGCAGGTCTTCAGTGACAGCGCTGCTGTGAGACGATGCAGACGAGCCCAGTCCAGTGGTCTGCAGGACATGTGGGCTTGAGGCAAAGATGGAGTCCTGCCTCATTCATCAGCCTCGATGGAGCGTTTGCAGGTGTGAGCTGGGGATGTCAAATAGATACATAGAAACATTCATGTGGAATTGAAACATATGGATACTTATTCGCAACAGTATCCATCAGACAGGCAGGCGGACAGCAGCTCCACCCTCACCATCAGCTGTAGTAGCAACACTGAACATTTACTGCCATCAGATTCTGTTGAGCAGTTATTAGAAATGTTTCCCTGACCAGCGCACATGTTACCATTAGTCATTTAATGTAAGGTAATACTATTACTTTGTTACTCTATTGAAGTAGGTATGTGTACTTTACTTGAGTATTTAATTTTTACTTATACTCCCTACATTTTGAAATAAATATCTGTGCTCTTTAGATTTACCAACAGACTCATCTATAGTTTATACTCCGAGGTTAGCGGGCAGGAGGCGTGCAGGTATCTGTGCTACAGAAAAGGAAGCATGAAGTGTGCAAGTGGTCCCTGCATTAGTGGTTAGATCTGTCCCGACAAGAGTTACACAGAAACCAAACAGACTAAACCCGAGCTGTGAAACACTAAAGAGCTGTGCCCAGAGACTCTACTGTACTCTACTGAAAACAATCTGAACTGAACATCACAGGCTTCCTTCAGCCACACCAGCACACCGTCACTCTCCCTTTGGCTCAGATTCAGTCCATCACAGACGGTCCATTTACAAAAGTACTGGACGCTCCCCCTCAGCCCCAGCAGACTGACCTACTGTATGAAAACCCCGGGGGACTTCCTTCTCGAGTTAACACATTCACCACAGAACACTGGACTAAGTTCAAGGACTCAAACTCGTCCCAGGTTTTTAGTAGATGGACCGACAGTATCCAACGTCGCCTTCAAGCTGAGGGGTAAAAAAGGCCCTAAAGGGCACGGTGGCCTGTTTTGGTTTTCCAAAAGTACAATCACTGATTTGTACTTCATGTTACATTTGGAGTACCAGCTGAGCACAGTCCCCATTTGCTGGGGGTGTTAAAACATAAAAGTTGGCACATGCCTTCCTTACGAAGTGCTTGCTGTTTACCTCTGCTTCCATAGCCTCCTTCAGTTTGTCTGTGTGCTGCATGATAGCCTGCAGGGCTGCTTCTTGCGCTCCTATGGCCTGCAGAGCAGCTTTGGCTGAGCTCGCCAGTGAGTCTTCAAGACTGGCTGATACCGCTGCAAAGCAATCACACAGGAGGCAGAGACATTTACTGTCTATAAAATGACACGTCATTATTCAAGTGGTCAGTATGCAACGACGTCACTCTTTGTGTGTGTGTGTGTGTGTGTGTGTGTGTGTGTGTGTGTGTGTGTGTGTGTGTGT